GCTTGTAGATCCCGGTGTTTAAATAAAAAAAAAATAAACAAGGACAAGTATCCCACAAAAATAATAAATAATCATACTTGTACATAATTTTAATTCCCAGTATTAATTATAGGCTCAGATAGAGCCAGAGGAAAAGTTCATATTTTTGTAAAATTAAGACCCTGTATCTCTGAAAACGGACCCTTAAATAAGGTTACACGTTACACTTTTGAACAGATGAAACTAATACTTTTATATTCTCAATTGTATTTCTTGTGAGTAGACCCTACTTTGGGTACCAATATATTTAATTTGCATTTAAGAAAAGTTTAATCTTCGCTATGTTGCCATACGGAGGCATCAGTGTTTCACAAACACATCTTGTCTGGTTCTTCTTTCTAACTGGCACTTCGAATAGCTTAATTTGCTGACTTACTTCACCTCAAAAACGCTTGCTACTTGATTTTGTTGATTTTGCTGATCTCTTTATTACTCTATAGCTCGACGTCCTTGAGCATGAAACGTTAACGTTGGGTACTGTGTAGCATTAATTCTTTCTGTAAGTTGAGAACAAAGTCATAGCACGTTTTACATAATTACCGTATAACATGTTATTTTAGCGGGGTGTTAATTTTGGCTTATTTTGGCGTTTTGATGATAGTCCGCTAAAATTTTAATCGCTAAAAGTCAATACTCTTCTTTGTGTCCATCTGCAAAGAGCTGAGACCGTGCGTCCGCTAAAATAAATAACGCCAAAATTATTGGCATACCTTTGAGCGGGCAAAATGCCAAATTTTACACCCGCCAAGAAAACCCGCTATACGGTATGTTCCCTTTGTTTTTCTGCATCCTTTCATTGCCTTGACCAAATTGAGAAATATTTGGGGGAAAGTAAACTTGGATTGTCCATTGTGGCTTCACCCTTACTCTTTGGGGTCATGATTTGAACAAATTTGATTCTACATTAAATAACAATGATTCCACATGAGTTCCATCTTTATTGGGCCAAGAACCAATGGACCAATAAAGATGGAACTCATGTGGAATCATTGTTATTTAATGTAGAATCAAGTGGGGTGTGGAGCCACAATGGACAATCCAAGTTTAACATAGGAGTATATATATACTCAAGAACAGCAAAGCAATGATTGAAGAAGATATTTCAATAATGCCATTAATTTTTCCCATTTCTTCATCTCCCCTTGGAGGAGGACATGGTCCATCATTTGAACAAACTGGAATTCCCTTCATTGCACCCAAGGATACATTGTTTCAAGTTTGGTTGACATTGGCCCAGTAGTTCTGAAGAAGAAGATGCTGAAAATGTGAAAGAATTTATGACAAATACGACAACAACACACAAATTTTGATCAGAAAAGCTCACTTGAGCCTTCAGTTCAGTAGAGCTAAATATACCCAACCTGTTAATTAACAAAACAAATGTCCATAGATGATGTTAAACATAGAGTTAACTTTGGACAGCCTTAAAATAATATCCTGCCAAGCAAAGGGAAAGCCTAAATATGTATATATACTGTGATATATAGGTTGAGTTTCAACACTAGTATAACTCAAAAAAATCAATAATAATTTTTTCTTTGATATTAACAAGTTTATTATTGTATACTACTTTCTTCAACATGCTGCTCACATTGCACATAACATTTTAGTAGACTCACCATAGATAATAATTTAACTATTGGACAACACTGTAACAGATGTATACATATCCACCTTAAAAACTATTTTAAAAAACAATATCAACTGCAAAGATACTGCTAAAATTATTATACCGGTAATCCAAAATTTCAAATCTTGTAAGAGGGGAAAAAAACTTTGGCATGAAATAATTAACATTTCTACAGCTGAAACTAAGTCAGGACAGCTGGAAATATCTGAGAAATTAAATTGCAATGAAAGGATTTGAGCAATCTAAAAATAGTGCTGACATTAAGCACAATAAAACTTGGCTGAGCCCATAGTTTAGAAAATAAGCTGTTTGAAAAGATAGAAAATAACAAAACCTCTGCTTCAAATGCAGGTCAATACATTTTTTTAGACTGAGATTCATTTATACGCATTTATAGAAGTTGTCAGTTAAAACACACCCTTTTCAATATCAACTTCTGTACCAATCACATCTTCACTAGCCAAGGGTTTCTAATGAGGAGAGTAGCATATCAGAAACCTTTGGCTAGCGAAGATGTACCAACCAGAGACATCAACATCAAAGGCCCAAGGGCTGATATTGGTCCAGGGCTTAGGGTGAAATATGGAAAAGGGTATGTTTTATTATGTTTATTACATACTTAGTAATAAAATACAGCAAACATCTACAGATCTACTTGAGAAATATGAATAAATATTCAGCAACTAGCCTTTTTATCTGATACAAGTAATTTAGAATAAAATACAAACAGTTTAGAGGAATGTGAAGAAGAAATAGGAGTACTATCACAAGCATGTGTTTTAAAGTTTTAATCTACAAGTGTGATTTATATCCACACCAGCCCTGGAAGCTGATATGGCTATTGAGATATCAGACAATTTATAGAATGTCCATGATCTATACATGTATAAGTTCCTTTTGTTTTAATTTCATGTGGTTGCCCAATAGAAGTTTTATGGCGCATTCCTATTTACATATACATGTATCTGTATAATTCACCGAATAATTGAAATATTTCTATTAAATATAACCATTTAATGTACTTCGTAGCTTACAATTGTTCCAGTTATTTTCATGTACTGGTAATAGTCCTAAATTCTATAACTGACCATTAGTAAGAGAACTACATGTATAATTCAAGTATCTAAGATATATAAACATACAAAATTTCATTTTAATTACCTAGTACATAATAAGGTAAAGGTGAAAATAATAAATATATTTTACATATTCAAATGGCGTACAATTTTTTGAGGTAAAAAAAAACAAACAAACAAAAGAGGTAAAAAAAAATAGGAATAAGATTGTTTTGAATTAGCAGCTAGATTAATTAATTAAACTACTTCATTACAATTTATCATATCTATTAATTAATATTTCATTTTTTAACAAACTTAATATATATTTCACATGGAATTCTGAATTTTGAAAAATGAAATTCTTGTTCTTCTCCAAAATATTGAAATTCATAAGAATACTGCGAGGACCTGGACTGAATACTGTATATAGAGCAGAAATTTTATTTTAGCATTTTTAGAAACGCCATGGTATTGAGATCATTTTTAGATATTTGTTACCTTTTAAGGCATCAAAAAATCACTAAAATTACTACTCACTTATATGAAATACCACTATTTTAAAGAAACATTGCTTAATCTGAGTCTTGCTAAAAATTCCATTTATACAGATCTCTCTTTTATGTATAGAAATGCATTGCTCTGTAAATAAATTGGCTCATAAACTGGACACAATCCTCTAAGTTAAACTGATTACAGTCTGTTACAGTAGACCTGATAACAAAAATACTGTTAATATGAACATACGTGTTATAAACTGGTGGTAAATAAATATAAATAAATGAATACATATATATGACAAACAATCCCTGTTATTCTCCAATAAAATGTGAAGTTATATGTCATAATAAATACCGGTACATGTGAATATCATAAGTGAATACTGCAAATAAAAATCTAGTGGAATCATTTTAATTTGTAGGAGTCAATCACAGGCACCTGACGTTACTTATTTTTCTTTTTATTAAAGAAAATACCCCCTACATAATAATAAACAGATTAGGTAGGGGGTATATTTTTTTTATCAAAAGAAAAATAAGTAACATCAGGGCACTGAAAGTTTTACTGGCTGGGTTATACAGAGGTAACTTTTAAAGATATCATATTTTTATATGCAGAAGATTCAATGAATAGATTGACAAAGTTATTCTCCACTGGGATGTAAATCCTAGGGTAAAAAAGACCCAAGACAAAACCCAGGAACACTGGTACCCCACAAACAATGATGATTCCACTGTATACTGAAAATAACAAAACGGACTCCAGTGAATTACTTAAACATCTTTGTGTATATAAAGCAACAAAAAGTAACACTGTTTCAGAAACTGAAAGTTAAATATAAGTGTTATGAGATTCCATTTGAACAATTTTTCATCTACTTATGCAAATTTATCTCTGTTATGATGCATGCCCATACTAATCTTGTCCTTTGGTTAGAAAGTTACTTCAAAGGTCAAATCACTCTTTGTCCATAGAAATAAACCTTAATTGTATCACAGCATTTACCACAAAAAAATATACAACTGTATAAATAAATCTTATAAAAATTCAAATTGAACAACTACACACACAAAACATAACTTTGCTTGTAAATATATAATAACAAATTGAAAGTTCTCTAGCTTGAATATTTTCATTAAAACAAGATAACTTTACAAGTAAAATTTACCATTTCTTAGCTCAACCATGAATTCAGTTAAAACATGTATCTGAATATTGCAGCATTTGTTTCCAGTTAAGCTCTAGCTATTGTCTTCACTCTAATCCAAACATAACTGGCAATTTTACATCAACCTACTATCTGCCACATTATTTAAATTTATTTCATGATATAATAACATTATTGTAAATAACTTTTATTCACAGAATTTTTGCATAATTATGTGAGACAGTGTGGTCACGGAAATTTCTTTTTTGCAGCGTACAAGTTTTCCTAAAGATTACTATATACAGGAAAATTTTCGCCTCTGTTTTTATTTTCATCCATTAATTTTGCTCTCTTCACGGTTGGATGAATTTAAAATGGGGCGTATTCAAAGAACATAGCATGATTTCATTAACAAAACAAATTTGAAATGTAACAAAATTGTTTGCAAGTGCAAAAGGGCAAAAATAAGATGGGGGAGAAAATAACCCTGTATACAGTACATATAGAGTAATAAATGCAATTGGAGAAATTCTGTCTTGCTAATAAAGTGAATGAATATCTTGCAAGATAAAGTGTCCCAAAAATTTAGTAATCAACAGTAATAGGTTTGTATATTCACATAAAACATTCCGAGATTAAATTATATAATAAAGTTATTTCTACCCCCCTAAAAAATCATATACATACGCTACATGATATACAAAAGCACAAGTAAAACAACCATATCAAGTGAGTAATGTAAAGTAAATTTGTTGCAAAAATTCTTTGGAATAAAGCAAACACAGAAACCACAGATATAATTAAATACTTAATCATCATCTAATCAAAGTAAATTTCCTGGGAAATGTTTATCAAGCCAACAGTGTAAGCTGACCAAATACAGTTCTGTTACCCTAAATAACCCTGAAATACCTGGAATCTCAATCACAACCACTGAGGCAGCATTCAACAGGGTTCAACAGTCATTCACACAATGTATGTCCACTTAAGGTAGGACAAAACACCCGTGGATTCTATTTTAATCCATTTCTTAAAAAGTACTGGAGGAAAAAAGAATAATATTGCTCCATTGACAACAATGAATGATCCCTGAAAAAAAAATAATAAGTTTTGGCATATTTGCGTAATATTTTGTGAAAAAATCAGAGAATCCTATATATTGGTCACTTGGGAGCTTACATTTTGGAATGTGTTTATGCTATCTAAGTGCAATAAAGAAGTATGTAACAGTCTGTTATAAAATGCAGTGCAACTTTTGTTCCATAAAAAGTAGAGGGGTGATATTTGGACACATATATAAGGAGTCTTCATTCTTTATGTACTACAAAGGTCAAGGTCATATCAAGAGGACAAAGGTCAAATATTGTGACGTCATCTACTGAATCTTTTAGTTTTTTTGCCATTGAATTTTTTTTAATTGCCAAAATATCTTAAACCACCGGTTCAATTTTCTTTATTTTTACACATTTTATTCTAGGACCCATTTAAATCATTTTGTTGATTTTTTGTAAAAATTGAATTATACATTTTCTCTTAAGAAAACTTAAACTGTCGGATATTTACATGTAAATTTTCAGTTTCTGACACAGTGTATGTTCCATTTTATTTAACATTTTACCCAAATTTTTCAGTATCAATGTGACTTACTGATTTAAAGTAACAAAAAGGTTATCTTTATTAAACGTATTACACAAATTTGCAATAGATCAATAGAAAATTCTAAAATAAGGCTCATTCTCAAGTCGAATGTCTGATTTCACAATCTTCTTACAGGGGTCTGATAGGCCATATTTCAGACTATGTGGGCAAAAAATGTGCGGTTGAATTTCTTTCATATCATATATAAAGAGAGATTTTGTATCCAAGAACAAAATATCAAAGTTTCAGAAAAATTGAATTTGAGGAAAAAATTTGACCTATCTATTTGGTCCTACCTTAATATCATTCACTGTCGCTAGCTGCAGGGCTCTCCTTGGATGATGGAACTCTCTCATCCCTGTGGTCTATCTCAATCTTGTAGTGATACTTGGCGAGGTACTTGACCCATTTTTCCGGTGGGGTGGGGTTCTCGACTGAGATGGAGCGGACCTGTGACTTGGACACTGTACAGGATGGCATGGTAAAGTCTACCGTGGTGAACTGCTCAAAGGAGTCTGGCATCTCATCATGGGCTCCAAATTCCAAAGTCAGTTTGAACAAGTGAGAGGTATAAGCACCTGTCAAAATATAATTCAGAAATAACTAATAGCAAAAATTCCTCTGACGTTACTTATTTAGAGATTACTTTTAAAACTACTTGCCTTGAATATCTTTTGCAATCTAATATAAGTGCTAGAAAGACAGACAAACAGACAAGGCAAAAACTACATACCACCATTCTTCAATTACATGTACAGGGGCAAAAAAAAAACCCCAACAACAAAAAACAATGTCGAACTCTCCTTCAAACTTGAAAATCTTTTTTTTTTTTGAGGGGGGGGGGGGTCTAGGATTGGTTATAGGGTTTCTTTGGATCTTTCTTTTCTCTGGGTACATTTTTTTTCAAATCCTGAAATTTTTCAGTGTTACCAAAACATAATGCGTTTTTTAAAGGGGGGGGGGGGGGGGGCGAGAAGCTTCCAAATGAAAATTTAAATAAAACTCATCAAAATACTATTCTCAATAAAAGATGAAGCTGCTCATTTTTATTTTACATTATTAATTTACATACCTTCATTTTTTTCTGGCAGTCTGGGAATACGCCACACCACAGCTCTGTTTAGATGTTCATATTTGGCACTTCCTACATCAGCTTCCATTAGTGTCGGAGTCAGCAGTCCTTGAGCAATCATAGTCAGCCTCTCAAGACCCTTGATTTTACCAGGCTTACGAGTGGAAGATTTAAATGAGCCATATCTGAACCTCTTTTCATATCGGAACAAGTAAATCCATTGTTCAGGAATTGGAAAATGGACCTCAATGTTCTCACAGGGAAATTGTCCATGCTTTTTACTAAAAGAATGATAACCTGTCACTAACAAATCACAGCGTATTTCACATTTTTGTTCTTTCAAAGTTTGCTGAATTCTCAGTTGCAAAGGCAGTTCTTTATTTTGACGTAACCTCACGCGGTATCTTAAAACCTCGAAATGACAGGCATCAAGGGGATGAAATTTTATGTTGTTTGTCTTCTCAAATTCATTTTTATCTACACAGCAGTGAAACTCCACATCTTCCAGTTTGATCCATTCTTCGGTTTTAATTGGGATGATATCGTGGCGACCAACAACTTCTTTTCCATCTCTCCGCCTGTCATTCAAACCAATTTCACACATTGGCATCCCAGTGACAAAAGCCAGGAAGAAAACTCGGACTCTTGCCTTCTGCTTTAGAAGAACACCTGCCCTATCTAGCTCTGCTTCATATTCATCCACCACCTCTGCACACACTTCTTCCTTTACATATGTCAAAGTTTTCTCTCTATGGGCCTCCAGATTCATAAGAGCATTTTCAATTGCCCTTCCAAATGACTTGATTTCATTTCTATCTAAGGAACCAAGTTTCATCATTTCTGAGACTTGTGGAGCATGATCTAAGATCATTGTTGCCTTTGGTTTTTTGACAAAGGAAGGGGTTATCCTGTCTGTCTTTATTCCTACACGTTCACGATAAAAGATGTATTGAATTTTCAAGGTGTGAATTTTTCCATACTGATCATAATGCTGCTGAGACACATCAGATACTGAATAACAAGGCTGGAGAGGAAGCTCATGATAGCACTCATCAGTGCGTTTTTCACTAAACACTTTGATGACAGGACCTTCTTCTGTTTTAACCAAACGCACAATAACACCTTTCCAGAATCGATTTGTGGTAAGCTTTTTCTTAGTGGGCTGTCTAAGCATGAGTTTCCAGCCATCCTTTTCTTCCTCAGGATAGAAAGGTTCTAAAGGTTCCAAATTCTGTTCCTCTTCTGGAGTGACACTCTCTGTTGTGGATATAGTGGTGGAAAAACTGACAGACTGCTCTGGCATCGAAGATTCTGCTACTTCCTTTTCGTGCATGATCTCAAATTTAGCAAAATCCTCCTCTGGTGGTGAGTCCCTGTCAAAAGGATTTACTCTGGGGGGCTGGGGGGACTTGGGGATTTTTGGAGGTGGCTTCAGCAAAGGCATTGCTCCAAGATCTGTTGGAGGTTTGGGTTTATTGGGGTCTGCAGCAATGGGTTTGATTTTCAATTTGAAAATATCTTTATCTTCATCCTCATCCTCCTCTTCCTCTTTGTCATCTTTTCTCTCTGTAATCTCTGCTTGATTTCTTTGTTTATCTTCTGATTCTGATTGAGTTGAAAACCCTGCTGCTTTTTCATATGTAATAAAGTCTTCATGAGATTCCTGTATTGTTTTGAATGGATCAAATTCATCAACTCCTGATTCTTTTGGCTCAGATTTCTTACTATCACTATCCATTAAAAAATCACTGACATTTGACAATCCAAAATCGGTCATATCCTGTGTTTGTGGAGCTGTGGAGTCTAAATCTAGAAATGGATTGCTTCTAATGTCAGATCCAATCACAACTTCACATGTGTCATCAAGAAAAGGGTTGTTTTTTCCCAGTTTTGGTTCATTAACAATTTCTATTGCACTGTCTGAAGCAAAAATGTCATCTTTAAAAGGATTGATGGAATGCTTTTCTATTACATTGTCATGTTGAGAGCCCCATGCTAAATCTGTACTGGATGAATTAGACTTGTTCGCAAGTTCTAGAAATTTCTCTTCAAAAACATCTGTCCTCAGGGAATTTTCATCTGTTAAAAATGGATTAAGGTTATCAAACTTCCCACACTTATTAGACTCTGAATCAAATTGTGAGTTTGTGTGGTCAACATTATCTTCATTTACTTTTTCATCTGAGGCATTTGTTAACCCAAATCCAAAATTATCATATACATGGGGAGAAATTGAGCGACCAATTGTATTATCCTTGCACCCATTAAAAGGATCAAATATGGGAGCACCATCAGCACCCAATGGTGACCCAGTTTCAATAGCATTCTCTTGAAGTTCTCCTTTTGTTGAGAGATTCTCTGTGTTGCCAAATCCAAATGGATCTAGTGATGAAATTTGATCAGTCTGCTTTTGTTGTGTGCTGCTTGTTGATGTATCTAAAAATGTTGAAGCTACATTTATTGCATGAGTTTGTGAGGTATTTGGGATAGCAGAATTTGATGAAAATGGATCCAGTGAGTCAAGCAAATCAGCTGATTTTGAAGAAGAGTAAGAAGGCTTTGTTTCAACAGATGCTGCTGCCTCTTTCATGGTATCCAGCTGCAGGAACTCATCTACAAGGTCACTGACAAACTTTGATGTCATAGAACTGGATTGTGTTGATGATTCCACCCAAGATCCCTGGTCAAATCCAAGAGGAGTGGTCCGTGCTGAAGATCTAGCACTGTGCATGCTGCTTCCGTAAGTCATGTCCCCTTCATCAAAGCTACTATGCATACTGCTTCCATACTGAGAGTCTGTGGATGACATGAAGCCATCCAATTCTAGAAGGTCTGGGTTAATGTAAGTGTTTGTTGACTGAATTTCCTGATTTCCATTGTCCACATCATCTGACAAACCTAGTAAATCTCCCTCAATACTACCAGAAGTATTCTCAGCTTGCACACTACTAAGATTTTCCATGCTTGTTCGTAAACTGTTTGCTGGTGGTTTGGGAATTGCTCTTGGGCAGGGGACAGGAGTTACTGAGAGCTGCTGTAGTTCCAGATTTAACAGTTCATCATTATCACAAATCTCCTTATTAGCTCCTAGATTCTCATCTAGGGTCAAAGTATTTTGATCTCTATCTGAAATTTTCTTTCCCTCTGCATCATCAGCATGATCCTCAGATGATTCAGAATTTAATTTTGTTAGACTGGATTTAGTTTTCAGCATGTTCAGTTTAATTCTATCCTGCATCTGTTGAAACACCTGCCATTCCTCTGACTTCTTCTCACTTATTTTCTTCTCTATATCCTTGAAGTCCTCAGTCAAGAGCTCTTGATCAGATTTGGAAGTTTTGGATGAACTTTTGGGAGACTTGAATGGTGACTTAATGGGTGACTTCAATGGACTACGAAATGGTGATTTTGCTCGTTTTTTGATGAAATGGAGTCCACCTTTATGTTTTTCTTTGAAATTAGACTTTTCTGTTTCACCAGGATCTGAAGATTCAGCACCTGCGCTCTCTGGTTCTGTCGGGGAAGTTACTTTAATCACTAAGTTGGAGGACTCATCAAAAGATTGTGAGGACATCTCTAAGAAAACTATCTACCTGAAAAACAAAAGAAACACTGATAATACATGAAGGATAAATTCACAAGCACAAATAAAAATATGGCACTGTACCTACGGTTTAGAAGACATTTAAGGATATCCAATAAACATAAAACATGAAATATGGCATTCAACAGTATAACATCAGAAAGACTGCTGCTATTTTAGCAAATGATATTGATAAAATTAAAATTTGATTATGGAAAGCTCCTAAACCTCAACACAGAGTAAACACCAGCACCACTAATATATCAGCTTAGTCTGGTAGAAATCAATGAAGACTGCTCAGTATATCCAGTAACCATGCGGGAACATCAGTACAGCACAGAGAGGCAGCTGAGAGTGTCTTTTAATGCTTGTGGAACTATGATATTCCCATTAATAGGTGGACCTGAGCTGTCAGACAATGATTTTCTCCCAGTACTGACATGCCCATATATTTATCTTACAGCATTGATTTCCAGCCTGGCATTCTAAATCTAGGGGAATTTCCTTCTGCTGCGACTGTGTTCCTCTTGTTATTGATTACTATTTTTCAAGTGATGTAAAAATATCAAAAACTCTTTTTATATTATGAAAGATATTTTTTTTTTTTATTTATGGAACCCTTTCATTCATAAATATGGCAGAAATTGTCAAAATGTTAATGAAAATAATTGGAGTTGTCAGTAGATTCAGAGCAGATTCGTAATTTTTATGGAAAAGTTTCAAAAAACTTGAAACCAAAGATGTTGAAAGATCACTGGCTAAATACCGGTAGGCGGTAGATGGTTTTACCCTCTATCTGTGCCAATCCCCATTTCAATGTCTTGGACAGAGAGCTTTAAACTTAAGGTCAGACCCAATTGAGCTACAAAGCACTAAATGTATAAAATTTACATTTCACTTCAAAGTGAGATAATAATTAAGATAATGTATGCTACCACAGTGGATTTCTGAAGATACAGTTTCTTCAATTTATGTCTTAAAAATTTTGTGCATTACGGTAAATAAAAAATTGCGTGTCCATGTTGCCGAACCATCTTGATTCAAAGGCTATAACTTGTTAACTTCACTGCAGCATATTTTAAAGCAAAAATATTAATGTGCCTGTAAATCAATTCTATATGTATCATATTTTTTCAGTGATTCATCTTAAAATTTGCTACTACCTTTCTTCACGTTTTATCATAAGAGCTGATGCTTTTCCCCCCCCTACCCCGAAGAATTCAGAAAGTTTATACATGTGCTAAGACTACCAAGAACAAACTTTTTTCATCAATGAAGCCCTGGTTAAGATCAAGTATCATATAAGCTTTCATGCATTGATTCCTTTAAAATTATTACATGTATCTCTACCTTCGACAAGTAATTCTTGATGAAGTCATTGCTTGATATACCACTAAATGAACAAAAAGCATGTATTCATCGATATTTTGTTAAAAAACATATTATTGATCTGAACATACTTGTTTCAGCATCTTCCTAGTATTTAAAGTAGACTGTATAACAAAAACTGTGTAATTAACTTTCCCATGATAAACACATTATTTGGAGAAATTGGAAATGATAAACACATTATTTGGAGAAATTGGAAATTATTGTTGAAGTGGTAACTATAAAAACATTTTGAAATGCACTTAGTGAAGGAAAAAATATCATCATTAAATTGATTAAGGAAATGCCACAAAAGTTGTCAGCAAGTATATCAGATCTATAATTATCAGAAATATGTGTCATCAAGTTAAACATCTGTCACAAATATCAGAAATTCATTCCATCTAAAGTATATAATAAAATTAAATTGCAAAACTTTAATGTAACACCTTTAATACTACAAGAATGGCTCAATTTCATTGAGCGATACTTCCTGAGTATTTCATCACTGTTTTCTGAAGACAATGTCATGCAGTTTATTTGAGCATGTCTTAATTAACTGGGTATTTTCATAAATTATTTGCTCAGAATTTTTCTATAAGAAGGAAGGCATTTTTAAGTTTTACAAGGTTTTTTTGGATAAAATATTTGTTTTTGCGATCAATAGCAAATACAATTTGAGGTTTGACCAGGGGAGGGGTTGGGGGCTCAGGCAGCCAGGGATAAATTTTTATGTTGAAGACAATTAGACATTTAATACAGGATCTGTGTTAACCAACAGGCACCTGAATTTTTATCAGTAAGTCACCAAATTAGCCAAATATCAAAAAATTCTAACCCCTCTATATTTATATACTGAGGGGGTTGAATTTTTCAATATTTTAGTGACTTGTTTTTTTTAATGCTGTAAACAAATTAAATATAAAATTTCTTGTTGCATTAAAAATTGAAACCATGCATTTAACCTTCAAACACACAAAACAACCCATAATTTATTCATAAAAAGAATAAGCATTAACATGATAATCAACATAAAAAAATCATAGTTTTTACAAACAAAAATAAACATGAGATGAAATTAATCCCTCCAACCTCAAAGATGTATTGTTTCACTAACCCCTTACCAAAAAATCCCCCCTAGCATTGTTCCTCCTTCATGAGTTATCAAATGCACATTAAAAGGTCTTGCAGTAGAATCAATAAAAAATCCATATTCAATGATAACTGGATATTAAAACACATTTCCAAGAAAGAATATTCTCCTTATAGTCTTATTAATTTTTTTAACTGCTGTAATCAAATTAAATATAAAATTTCTCTGTATGCATTTCACAACATGAAACCATGGCATTTAAGGGAACACTAACATGCTAGGCATGCCAAATATGTCAATTTTCGATTAATTTATTCATAAAAAGAATAAGCATAAACATGATAATCAACATAGAAAAATCATAATTTTCATAAACAAAGATAAACTTGAGATGAAATTATAAACCTCCAACCTCAAAGATATATGTTTTACTAACCCTTACCAAAAAATCAATGGACTAGCAGCCCTAGCATTGTTCCTCTGGACTGAAATGTTGGCTTCAGACAAACTGCACATTAAATGGAGGTCTTGCAGTAGAATCAATAAAAAATCCAATGATCCAAACTGAAACCATGAGTCTTAGACACATTCTCCAAGAAATATTCTACAACTTTGGTTCTTACAAGTTATTCAGTATTTCTGATGTCCTTGCAATTTACTAAGGGAGCATTATCCAACCATGTGTCAGACAATATACTGTTACACTGTACCTAGACGATTCTTCCTCTGAAATGTGTCTGCTAGCCAGAGTAAAACAAAAAATCAATTTATATTGATCCAGTGTGTATTTTTCATATATTCAGTGATGCCATAGATCTTCCATTATAGATCCAACTGTCTCATCAGAACAGAGGAACCCCATTCTATCAATTGATTTAATTTACTTGGGAATTGACACACTTGCCTATTCTTACAAAACTAATAATAATCAATTTCTTTTTATTATCCAGCTGAATTGATCAACATAATATCATTTTTTTCAGCAGCAATTGATGAATCAAAGTGATATTAAGCTAAATGGCACAATCAACAGATATTACTATTCAATGCCTCCTTTGGACAATAAAGAGGCAACCTTAGTATATAGAAGACCACTGTAAATCCATAAATGTAACCCCTTAGACCTTTTTTTGGGGGGTGGGGGGTGGAGCAATGACCATGATTTCCTCATTCACAATGTTTGTTCTCATTTGCCAATAGATGGTTACAATATCAAAACCAAATTAGTTGAAATTGATTCAGTGCATGTGGTTCCAGAAAAAAAGCTGAAAATGATGAAATGTTTATCGCAGCATGACAATCAAAACAAGGGTAGCACAAAGAGGCCCGGAGCATGACCCTTCACAAAGAGCATATATCTATAAATCAAGGCAACTGTTGACATAGATCACTGTGCAAATTACAACATTTCGCACTCGCCTACAAACAAACATACACACGACTGTATTTGTAACGGGAGAGGAGAAAATGCAGCTGACCAGATCGGGATTTGAACCCCTGCCCCCTTAATCTCCGGTCAGGTGCTCTACCAGCTGAGCTATCCATCCACCAGCGATCAAATGCAGCTGATCACCACATTCCTCTCTCCTTTAAGGTCTTTAAATTTCCTCAAAGACCCCAACCCAGATTCATCCCTGACAAGCCTCTCATCTCAGTTCCAGAGCATGGCATGGCACCAAATGTAATGGGAGAGGTAAAAATGCAGCTGAATAGAACGGGATTCGAACCAGGACTCCTGAATCTTCAGTCAGTGCACTACCAGCTGAGCTATCCAGCCATGCGATCGAATCCAGCTGATCACCACATATTATTATATCCCCTCCAACCCCATTGCAAGGGGATAAAAAGCAATACCTGAGTACATCAGCTAACCAAAAAGTTCATTCTTTTGTTTTACTGTATTACATTATAGTACTATACACTCATAAAAATTACAGAAATTACTATCAAATACTATGATATATTAATCGAGTGACTGAAACAAATCACAAGGAAAGAAAGACAACTCCTTCCAGCAGTAATTGACAGGTTTTTGAATCACTGAGAAAGAGAATACAAACTAAGTAGACTGAGACATAATTTTATGACTGGAATATAAAATCTGATTAAACTTTTTTTTTTATTATTGATTTTAGTAAAGTTAGTGGTGAATAATTCAAGTAATGGTAAAAAAATGAAAGGAAAAGTGAGCAAGCTCACATACCCCACACTCCCCCAAAACTCAAAGTGCTGAAAATCCTGGAAAAAAATAAAGGAATCAAAATTTCCCGGTAAAATGCACATCTACACATTGTGTCCTAAATATATGCAAAGTTTGATGAAATTCTGTGCAACGGTTTATGAGGAGTTGCGCTGACAAACTGTTCATCTCTATATTCAAGATATGGCCAAAAATTTAAATTAAAAAGTGCAAAAATTCCCAGAAAAAATATAGGAATTTTCATTTTCTGGTAATATGCACATCTACACATTGTGTCCTAAATATCTGCAAAGTTTGATGAAATTCTGTGCAGCGGTTTATGAGGAGTCGCGCTGACAAACAAAAACAGGACTGACTGACTGACACTCTGACTGACTGACAGACGGGTCAAAAATATTATACCTTACACAACTTGTTGCATGGGGTATAATAAATTAGTTATTGGGAAAAAAATAAAATGTGAACCCTATATCAGCTAGCTAGCTTGATCCAGCCCTTAAGGGGCATGAATATCTCAACTTTGGAGGAGGACTAACTGGGCAGCTCATTATATGCATGAAGATGGTTGCCTCATGACTGTATAGTATTTTTAAGAAGATTTCAAAATAAAAACAACTTTAAACATGGTTGTCCCTAAGAATCAATATAGGAGGGGACATACATATATATAGAGAAGAAGGGAGTTTTAAAGGTTCCTCCCCTAAAAGGGACTGTAGAGGTAACTAATCTAAAATAACCATCTAAATAGGCAGGGAATTCCGGGGCTGGCTCCCTGGTCTATGGGACAACCTGTTCGAGTCATTTTCAATAGACAATCAGTTTAGCCTTTACCCTCAGGTCCCTGCACTTTAATTGGATTCAGCCATGGGCCATAATTAAATCTACAACACTACATCAGTACATATACATCAGTGTACATGTTTACAAGGAATGCCAAAACACATGCAAACAAAAAAATATATTTATGCCAGAGTGAAGTGCACATAACTCACATTTTGAAGATCAACAGATCTTAGATTGGGGGAAAATCTTTTAATTATGCATGGATTCACTGCAATTCAATCTCAGTAACTCAGTGCTGGATATTGGAGGGAGTCTGCCTATAGCTTTTCAAACATCTTCTACAGTGTTAGTTCAGTATTGATTATAATGTCTCCTTAGTATTATTCATTCTTTGTTACCAAGAACTACAGGAGACCATACAAATCATGTACTGGTAATCTCAAGCTTTCTGAGTCATCTTGAAATGACAGCCATGTCTAAGCTATGATATAAATTAGGCATAAGGACAATTAAAAAGTCCTCCAATATTAAGCATTGAAGATTTGCTCTAAATTGTCATTGGTTATTTTATGCTGCACTCCTTCTCCTCAACAATCCAAAAAAAGAAGACTCTGATGAGACTGTAGCTCTACTGATTTTGTACTTAAAACAAAGGATGAAATTTAACATAGGTAATCAAAGATTAGAAAGCTCACCTCGACAAATATAATCTATTGGAAAGGCAAATATCACATCATTTTTTTCTAGTAAGTGTGTGCATCCTGAGAACAATATCCATACAAGTTTGGTTTGATCAGAACTTATAGTTACTTGAGAATGGATATGCTTCAAAAATTTAAACCTATATTCACTTACTGTAAAATCACATATTTTCATGGAGTCAAATTTTCATGGTTTGAGAAAAATCTACGGGTTCATGGGGATTTGATTTCATGGATGAAGAATGTTTTAGTAGTCATGGATGTGACATTTTACTTTTTGTGGTGGACATGAATACGTGGGTCTCTTCATACCTTGAAAACAACAAAAATTAAACCCCTACGAAAATTAGTGATTTCAGTCAGTCCAAAAGCTTTATCCTGGTCACCCATCAGGAAAATGCATCTCAGATTCTCAGCATCCAAAGCTGGCCAAGAAGACTCCATCAGTCAAGATAAACTATCCATAATGAAGTATACTAAAATTTAATCATCTAAAACGTAAAGATCAGATCCAGCCGAAGCAAGTGTGGTAAGTGTCCATCCTGAGATGCATCATTCATGCAAGTTTGGGCCAGGTGGGGCTTACATTTACTTGGGAATGGACCTTCTCTTAAAACTTTAACCTGGTCATTCATCTTGATAATATAGGTCAGATCCAGCATCCAAAGCAAGTGTGGTAGTGTCTATCCCTATATGCATCATCCATGCAAGTTTGGTCCAGGTGGGGCTTACAATTACTCGAGATTGGACCTGCTCCAAAAACTTTAACCTGGTCACTCATCTGGAAAATGTAGGTAAGATCCAGCATCTGAAGCAAGTCTGGTAGTGTCCATCCCTAGATGCATCATCCATGCAAGTTTGGTCCAGGTGGGGCTTACAATTACTTGAGATTGGACCTGCTCCAAGAACTTTAACCTGGACGTCGACGCTAGCAAAGACACCAATGCTGATGTTGTGGGTATAGCATAACTTCATCTTGACTTTGTCTAGGTGAGCTAAGAAAGTAACACTTGGACTTGAAACTATATATGCAACAGCAATAAACAGAATATGATCCTTAGTTTAGTGCATGTAGATTTACAGAATTAATTAAGATCCTTAGTTTCTTTTTGAGGCAGGATTTGTTGCAATCAGACATATCTATCCTAAGCAATCACAGCAACCATTCATCCATCTGTATTTTAGTGTAAAGTACTTGCATGCAAAATTATAATCAGACCAACATTTTTGGAGAAATAGTGTTTTGGAAAAGAATTTCATAATTATTCCCCTGTAAATGGAGTTTCAGGGGTATATAGTTTTTGTTGTGTCCATTTGTCCGTCTGTCGGTTTATCTGTCTGTCTGTTTGTTAGTTTGTCCGAAAAAATTTAACCTTGCCCATAATTTTTGATTTAGTGGATTTATGACTTTTATATTTCACATGTGTATTCCTTGTGACAAGACCTTTCTTTGGGTACCACCAAATTTGACCTTTTGACCTTGACCTTGGAGTTTGACCCACTTTTACACAAAAATTCCAAACTTTTACTTTGGCCACATCTTTAGAACAGTAGATACCAGGACTTTTATACTACATATATGTATTCTTTGTGGAAAGACCTTTCAATGGATACCAACAACTTTGACCTTGACCTTGGAGATTTAGTACTTATGAAAAACTTTAACCTTGGCCATAACTTATGAAAGGTAAGGGCTAGTGCTTTCATACTTCACATGTGTAATCCTTGTGAGAAGACCCTTAATTGGATACCAAGAACTTTGACCTTGACCTTGGAGTTTGACCTACTTTTAAAAAGCAAACCTTGACCATAACTTTTAAAGGGTTAGGGCTAGTGCTTTCATAATTTACATATTTAATCCCTGTGACAAGACCTTTCATTTGATAATAAGAACTTTGAACCTTTGATATTGAC